CTGCATTTCTCGATTCCGGTTACTACTTTTCATTCCATCTCACTACAAGGAATGACGTGGAATGTTTGTTGATAGTTGTCGAAGAATTCAATCAGATTCACGAAAAACGAAACTTTGAATGAAGAAGATATTTAGAAGACATTTTTATCGTGAGGTTCAAGTTCATGATCCTTTCAAGTAAGACAGGTTTCATATGTTTATTCCCAGATGAAATGAATACTCTCGATCTCAGAAAAGTTTGTTGATTCACCACAATCACTGCTCCAAATATGCGTTGATTATTTTGTCTTTAACTCTATTATATTGAGTCTGAGATTATTAGGAGCTCCAATATATTATGAATAAAACCTCTATCATCTATAATCTGTCAATTTTTTCATGCAAGGTCAAGAAGTTTTTCGTTTTATTTGCAAACGTCATTCTTTTCCCACCATCGTTACCAGAATGGAACGAATAAAACGCAACTAATGTTCTTACGAAATTATATAGGGACTCTGTATACGAAATTCTCATTGACAGGGAACAACATAATATTTATATGGAATCACTACAGGTCATAGATTCAATTTGGAAATTAGTAATCCAACATATTACTGATAACTACGACGCATCTGAACTGCCATTCTCAAGATTTTTTTTTTTTGAGAATATTTGCATAACTCACAGTTGCAACTGTAAATTAGGCAGAAGAAAGTCATTTTTATATGTCCTTATTTACAATTGCGTTTGTAAATTAGGTCATGTTTATAGAAGAAAAAAGTTCCTCCATCAGCCTAATTTACTGTTGTAAATGTATTAGTGAGGCAGAAGACATTTTTTGAATATCTCCTAATTTGCAGTTGCAACTGTGAATTAGCACTAATTCATAGTTGCAACTGTGAATTAGGCAGAGAAAACTTTTTTTCCAAAACATCTATCAATTTACAGTTGCAACTATATAAGGGCATGTTTTCAAAAAAAAAGTTTTGGCTGCTTGATTTACAGTTGCAACTGTAAATAAGTGCTAATTTACAATTGCAACTGTAAATCAGGACATATTTAAAAAATGTATTTTTTCCTATTTACAATAAATTAGTGCTCACACTGCAACTGTGAACTAGGCAAATATTCGTGAATAAAGAAGTTTTTTCAGGATGGCAGTTCAGACGCGTCGTAGAAAACGATGAAAATTGCAAATAATTGAAAAATATTTAGGCATGAACCAACACATGTTGGGAATGTGTTCGAACTTCTCATATCGTTGAGGATATTCATGCAGTTGGAATTAGTATCACATCATAATGTCATTCTTTCTGATATGTATAGTGTCTCCAAGATGAGGATGTCTGATATGGGGTAAAGTTGATTATGGTTTCTCGGAAACGAAACGTCGTACAGAAAATCTTTCAACGCTATTTTGTAGAGCTTACATAAGAAGTGGCAATGACCAAGTGCTGTCTTTTGTTTCCGTATATATCTTGAAATAACGTCAGAAAAAAATTGTAAACGATCGTCATGATGGACATCCTCATCTTGGACACAGTGTATATCATGTCGGATCTTGTTGTCAGAAGTATTTCAGTGTCAATTTATATGAACTGATAAAAAAAAAATGATATTCGTAAACGTTAGAGACATAGGTATTGATATAGCATCGGATATAGCTATATAACATTCATTCTAAAAATACTCCTTCATAGTAAAAACACAATGTCCTCACACTATTTCGGTCAGTTCATATATTCTGTTGATATAGAAATCCTTGATAAAAAGACAGCAATAACGAAGCCGGCTGCCTCTCGATTTGATTTATTTTTCATCAATTCATCAAATGAACTCAGGTAATTATAAAAACCATTTTTATTGTTGTATTCTCACGAGATACCCAGTATAATGATATTCATTATGGGAATAATTGTCCTCAAATGTCCAATGAACAATATTGAAAATTCAGATAAAGAAGTATTTTGTGAGATCAATATACATAACAATATAGGACTGAAATTTAATTTATGGATATACCTTCACATATTTGGTTCGATGTCATTAGTTTATATTCTGAAAGAATTATCTAAACGATTCATCAGCAACTTCAATATATTCTTGGATGACATTTGAGTCCCAGTATTAATAAACATCGTCTTGTATCTGACGACTGAATGACGATCGTTAATTTGTTGGTGATGAACGAGAATCAAATGGAGGATTTTCAAGGTTCTCATGATAATCGAACTGTGTGGAGGTTCAGTACATGGTGTGTCCACCTTAAGGACTTACTACCCCTGTAAAATCGTATTCATATTACCGATTTCGTGAAACTTTTTCTTGTTGGATTGATATTCGGAATGTCCCTTCAACAAGCGAGTGACTATATTCTTGGACTGTTATCATACCCAACAGCGACTAATTGTATATTGACCCATTTTTCAAGAAGTACCATTAGGAATTTTTTCAGAAAAATTGATGATGAATTGATGATGGAATCAAGAATGGAAATCTGTTAATGTATGCAAGGTATATACTCAGAGAATCCTGACTTGTTGGAACGAATTATGTACACAGATGAAGCTACATTTACAACAAATAGTGTTGTTTCGTCACAAAATATTAGACTTTGGAGCGAAGATAATCCACATTGGGTAATAGAATGTAAGAGGCAATACTCCTTAAAGATGAATGTTTTTTGTGGCATTGAATGAGAAGATTATCGGCCCATACTTGTTTTATGAAAATTCAGATGGTGCCAGTTTTCTCAGATTTTTGCAGAATGAATTCACCGATGTACTTGTTGAGCTTTCTCTTGAATACCGATATAATATACATTTACAACTTGATGGAGCACCTATCCATAATGCCATTGCTGTGAGAAACTGGTTGAATGAAACATTTTTTAATCGCTGGATAGGACGAAATAGTCCTCTAATTCGTTGACCGCCGAAATGAACAAGGTTCATGCTTTAAGGCCCCAGACCCGAAGAAAACTTCGTGACCGCATCAGAGGAGTTTGTCAAAATATCACTAGACAGAAATTATTGAGAAGAGTGGTGAACAATAATCGTCGACTTATTGAGAAGTGTTTTGCAGAATTCGGCAGATGAATCGGAATGACTGATATTCAATTCTACTACAGACTAGCTTCTCTTGATCCTTGTATAAAATTATTTTCACCTTGGTATACTCATAAAAAATTGTTGACAAATTTTTGAATTGATTTATCATCATTTTTATATGTGTTTCTCCTCTGGCTTCCTGCTCAAAAATGAGTTATACCTTTGAAATCATGAACATCGGTACTGATATATAAAATCTTTCGATAGTTATTCCAAACGATATCACAGTAGTATACATTTTCTGATCACATATTCAGAAAAAATCATAATTCGTTTCTTTGGACACCTTGTGTTTGATGATGATGAAAATCGGTACAAGTTTGTTTTAAGTGATGCAGATTCAGAATTCATCATTAATTTTTGAGTGAAGAATTATCATGATGAAAACTTTATAACGAAGATTCAAAGGATACCGTTTACTCGACACAGATAATCCTATAGAGCTTAAGCTGTGTTTCTTAAAACAAGGTGAAGAAGATCATCGTGAAATTTTTACGGATTACGGAACCAAATCTAATTCTTCAGAATCGAGGCATAAAGAAAAGAGATATCTTCTGAGGTGCAGCAATATTCAAGATTTTTAGATTTAGTCTTGTATCATACAGAATGTTCTTCATCAGATATAAAAGAACACTCAATGGTAGAAGAATAAGCGATGTCTAGTTGAAATAAAGAGATGTGGAAGATGACCAGGCAGGAATAATAATCATTCCCTTATCGAGAATCCAGTACAAACCAACACGAATGAGGTAGCTCTAGAACTATGATCCCATTTGGAATTCTCGAAAAGGTAGTTCTTGAGTTAGGAAGACGTCATGACAGATGAGAAGTCAATCTCGTAATAAATTCCCCTTGGAATTAGGGTCAACATGTCTAAGCAGATTTTCATTCGATCATGCCTCAAAACGTTACACTGTAGAAAATTCCTCTGAGTGAATGAATATGTGGTTGTGAGTGAATTTACTGATTGAAATTTTTGAGTGAAATCACAACTCAAACTGGATATCTCATCAAGTTCTCATAACAATGAGAATGTTTATAACAAATTTGATGATTGAATCGGTTCATGAATTACTATTTTACACAGTCAAGTATATGGTGAAATTTCAACTCAATCGGGTGTGGACCGAAATTGACTCATTATTGCGTGGACATTGAGTGAAATTCCACTCATTTTTATTATTCAGTGTATTCAGGGTGGATCATTTTGAATGAACCATCTGGTATATAGCTACTATACACCAGAGGATTAAAATCTGCAAATATTAACATTCAAAGAGTTCGATATACACGTGAATATTAGAATTGATCAAACTCAAAACGATTAAAAACTCGCCAATTAATCCGCGCATATGTAGTGTTTATATTCCATTACAATGTGCGTGGAAAACTCTGAACCACACGTTTTCAATTAGAAATACAAACAAGTGGTGAGATAGCTGCTGGAAATAATAACAAAAATCGAACAGTATCCTCTTATCTGACACTAATTTTTAATGCGACTAAATTTTCGGGTTATTTTCATCTATACAGGCTGTGTTTGATCAGGATTGTCTTGCTTTCATCAAATTGGATGTAGGATGTTAGGATGTTATCGATTGAAGAGGTTATGATGTCTTTCAAATTGGAATTAGCATAATTTTGATTATTCGGACCTTTTTCATTCATGAAAAATTGGATCATTCAACTCACTTTCAGAGAAGAGCACTCAATCATCCAGAAACGTTAGTAATTCCTTATCAATTTGGTTTATAATAGTGAGCAGTATTCCATGCTAATAAGATATGGTTTTGTGAAGCCATAGATCATTAACATTCATCAGACAAACTTGAGCAAATTAAAATTCGGGAAAATCTATGTATTCTCGATGAATGGTTGATGTTAGAGAAAATGTAATTATGTAATATGTACCTGAGTTTCCGTTAACGATAAAGACTGTGCCAACTGTTTCCTCTCGGCCCCTACTACATAATGGTTCTTCTCGAAAGCGTGTTCCAGCTTGAGTAATTGTGAAGGACTGAAGGCCGTCCTTATCCTTTTTGGTTTCCTAAATGGCTGCAGAAGAAATCCAGGTATGTCAGGACCTGAAACCAAGAGTTTCTCTTCTCAATTTCGATATTATAGGTATGTTTTTCCTCGATATGTCATTTTATTCTTGTAAACCAATAACTTTACATAGGTTATATATACTGTGTCTGAAGATGGCTGCTCGAGCCGAAACTAGTCACAAAAAATCTTTTTGTAATTAAACTTTGTGGTCGACCGACTTAGCGTTTGTGTTTTTCCTTCTCCTAATAATGTTCGACACATGAAAACTAGAAGATTCTTCACAAAAATACAATTTTTTTAAAAGCAGGTGGAGGTTGATTGAACACGGAAATGTTCAAATGCAATGTTTGTTAATACTTAATTCCTTTCAGATGAAGAGTATGAAAAATAAATTAGAGTCCAATTTGTGTTGAAATGAAAAATTGCTTCTTGTGAAATTAACTGCAAGAAGAATGTTGCGAGGAAGAGTACATCCAATTAACTTTCATTATTCGAGCATCAAATCAGAATTAATCCGACAAAATTAAAACATAACGTTACCAACGATTTAATCGATGTCGTGATCATAATTTCAGCGCCATAAGCGTTAAACCGCAAGAAATAACAGTCATGATGAGAGAAGTGGTAATTCAGCACTTTGGCCCTCAGTTGTATACCTGAAGAAACAATAATAAGTGTTCACCGTGGCATATATAGTCCAGTCAAAAATGAACTCTCTGTTGTCCTATGCGCACCATGTTACATATTATATTGAATATACGAATAGAACTGGGAGTCTGAAATATCCATGAGATTATTTTGATTCCTACTGTGCTTGTCCTATACTATATTTTGAGTCTAAATTTGCAATAATTTCACACGATTGATTCATGAGAAGGATTAATTGGATTATAGAAGAACTCATACATATATTCAGTAACAGTTCAATCAAATAGTTTGAGGAATTGATCACAAACACACCTATTTGATTTTCAAATCAAATTGCTAAATTCATTGTACTTGTAATCTTCGGCAATGAGTAAAGTATTCATTATACGATATTCAATGAGTTCTTGGAAGTTAGACAACGACCTCGTTAGCACCTATATTGTGTCAGGCAACTTCACTGACAAGTCTGAACACAATTGAGTTCAATGTGATCCACAAATAATCAAAATGATGATACTATCTTATTTTCTCCTCATGAACTCAACTATAAACGAACATTGTACTTATGATGTTGGAATTTCACGAGTCAATTAGGGCGTATTTCGTGTTATCTTGCCATTAGAGTTAGACTCGATATTAGAAACAGATAGAAATAGGTATATCTAATAGTATTTATGGTATAGGTGCTACACCGAGGTACATGTATTCACTTCAGATATTCACTAGGTATACTCATTATGTGAGAAAACGACTTCAGAACTAACACATACACTATCGTGCCTTATTATTATCGTATTACTCGTAAATTGAACTTTGGTGCCTTCTCAAAAATTATAGGCTTGTAGACATGATTTTACGATAACCAGACGTTGTTATTTCAATTCATTATACCTTTTGATATTCAACAAAATAAATAGTGGGTAGAAGCAATAACCATGCAAGATAATAAACTGCAGTTATGGCATCTTATTATACAGATAGAGATCAGTGATATAATAATTCATATAGGTATACCTATACTGCTCTTCCTGCAATTTCCACTTTCCTAATAATATAGAGGCGAAGTCGCAAGATTGGATTTTTATCCGACTATTTGTTATGGGAATTCACACTTATTTCGTTGATATATTCATCGTCTCCTCCACGTAAAATCTTTCAATTTATGCTAGTAGTTGTCGTAGTAGTTGCCGGAGGCAGGTTTTCGATAGCAGTCATTTTCGATATATAAAACAAATCCTCAGTTCCGGATCCTTCATGATTTTTCATAATGGAACTTTGTCGACATTTTTTTGTAGACTGTGAATGACTGCTATCAAAAATCTGTCATCTATACGATTGATACAACTACTATTCAGTATTATTCATTGGAAATAAGAATTAACGCATGCTGGAACATGAAAACATCAATTTGATTTTTTTATGCTTGAGAGCGCACGAAAGAGAACCCCTTAAATGTTCTAAGAACATCGTGCGTACCTTGGGAGGATCGGGAGAGGAGGTGAGTATTGGAATTTTTTCGAACGTTCGGGGATTATAAGTTCTTGGGAAAACTTCAATTGGCAAAGAATACCAAAGCGTCGCTGTTCTATGGACGAACAAATTTTGAAACAGTGTTATTCGACATATTTCAAGGTTGACAACTGAAGGATGTGCTGATTGGACTTGGATAGTTTGTCTTTCTGTATTGCTTGTGATAGAATGATAGCAGAGAAATCTGAAGAACGCAGTCCTCGTGGAAGTATATATAGAAGAGTAAGAGGTTGTCAACTTTCCAACGATGTTCCGATGATGTCATATAATAGATTGCACAGTATATACATTCAAATATTCTCACAATGTGTTTCCACTTCAGTGCTACATTTCAAAACCGCATCATGTGAAGAGTGCGTTACAATAATGTACTTCTGGGATATGGATCATGTGAAATATAGGTCACATTTTGAATTCTGTGAAAAGTACCAGATTTATTACGCCTTTTCACAACCATGTTCATCAGTGAGTATAATCCACGGTTTACAGACAGATACCCTGTTTTCATGAGACTATAATTGAGAATTATCTAAGTTGCAGTTATAAAGATAACAAATGAATAATATACATAGACGGGGTTGGTGCAGTGGACGAACTCATGACTGCGAGGTCGTGGGATCGAATCCCAGCCAATGCAAGAAATTTTAGTCTAAGTATTATGTCTTGGAAAGTATGATATAAAAGTTGAGCAAGTCAATGTAAGTTTAGTTAAGTGTTCGAGTATTATACTTGAAGAAGCATAACTGTGTTAGAAAAACACATGTGTTATTGGGGATTTTTGTAGAAGTCTTATCGTTTGTGAAGTCTTTTCACATTTACTACAAAAAAAAGTTATTCATGCACCAATAAGGGTGTAGATCGGTCGACATTCATTCTTCGGGCTAAATGTTTTCCTCCGGGCGTTAGAATAGCATAGATTTGGGGTGATGCATAAAGATTCTACTTTTCATGAAAATTTCATTAAATTCTGTTCTTTGCTCTTCGCATTCACCTTCTACTTTTCTTCTCATAATGGGCATGACAATTGTTGATATTCAGATGTTCGTTGAATATTGTTGTCAGTGATAGTTTATTAGCCTCTGTGCCCCCCCCCCATCTCACTGTTTAGCCAGTATCTTCGCAAAATAATTTCTAGAAATTGTTTTTCGTGATAGTTATCATTATCAGCATTTGTATCTTATGAAATTTCGATGAAATGAGTTCCAGAGATATTCGAGAATAATTAATAATGTTATATGTGGAATAATAGTTGTGATGTCATTAGCGCTGGTGTAGTAACAGAGTTAATGGGTGATGAAAACTTCCTGGTTTCCAAGTATAGCTGCGACAGTGACCTTCTAGATAGCTCCTTCGAGCTTATCATTCATTTTTCAGTTTTCAAATATGTCGATGACGAGACATGATTAAAAGGGTAGGTTTAAGACCGTAGACCCAATACGTATTGAATCAATAAAGGAAGAGTATGTCTCTGATTAATTTTTGAGATGAAACGTTCCCTTTGAATTTTATAGGGCGAAAAAAATCCAAAATCATTGACCATCATGATTAAAATAGTTGTGAAATCTAATACGGAATCATTGGCCAACTTGATTGAAATAGCTGGAGAATCACTAAAGCAAGCATTCGGAAACAGGAAGAGGCAGTGTGAACTAAACCACCCTATTAATAATTAAATAATCGTTTTCGGTTTGCTTCAATTCAACATATATGACCCGTTACGATGAAGCACTGTGTTAAATTTGAAATCGATATTTATCTTTGATATAATATATATTTGATCAATTAATCGAAAAACATGATTTCAAACCGAACTTTATCCTTCTTCATATCAACCATGCATGGGGACCCACAATGATAAATAGCATGAGAAACGTCTTTTTGTTTTTGTTCAATACCTATAGGTATTGAAGTTCCCTTTTTTCATCGTCTTCATTAGATAGATTTCCGAAAATAGATTGATGAATATATATATCTCAGTATATGTATGAATGAATGTATTGTACCAAGTATAAATCGTTTCAAAATATTCCCAAATCCTACATGTTTTATAAAGGACAATCGAACAATAGAATACGTCACGGGATTGATATACTCCCCGACGATGCCATTTTGAACATTCAACAACTGTTCCTTTAAAAAATGAACTTGATCCTATTTGTACCCTTATCAATAGTGAATAGTCACACCCTAACGAGATCATGATTGACTCCTGAATTCTTTAATTTAATAATGGACCATGACAATAGCCCTAATCTAGTTTCACGCCCCTTAAAAACGGGCATGGTGTTATGTAGTCACCAGACCGTAAATTTGACGCTTATAAAAAGAGAATAATGCTTTTTATGGACTGTGTATTGGAATAATGCGGCCGTTCGCATATGATATTTATGAAGTAAGAACTGTTTTAGTGAATATGATATGAGTATAAACCATAAAATGAATATACTTCACACAAAATATTGGATATAGGTAGATACAAAAATTCATAGAATTAGAGGAAGTCGTATCTATGTTGTGACAACCGCAAGAAAGTTTAGTATGTAAATACGCTTTATTCATATGGAAACATGCTTTCCATTTCCATTCAAAACACATTAACATCAATCTTTGGAATCATCATTATTAGTACTAAATAAAATACATTTTCAACAAAGCGCTAATTATGAAGTTAATTTGTGTGCAATTATTTATGCAGAGGAGGCCTCTCGCATGAAACTTGAATAATTCGTATAGCGGTTGATAATTATATTCTTTTTCATCTCCATGCATGCTTGACTTATAACTCGCTGCAACGCTGCATTCTTTTATATGTAAAGTAGCCATTGAAGACAACATACCCGCTTACAAATAGCTACAA